AGCCCCTGCTCCCCGATCAAGGCAAGATCTCCAGTCAGGATCTTTGGCATCCAAATTACATGACTTAAAGAGAAAAACTGGCTCTGGCAGTTCCTGGAGCCTTTCCAGAAATATAGCCAGAGGGCTAGAGTGGGGTTATCAGTCATCCTCTGTCTTCATTCTGGAGTCAGAGCCCTGGGAAAGCCAGGAGTTGACTTTACAGAGCTCCAAGCTCTCAACTCTGATTGGCATCTGCATTCTCCTCTCTGGGGAAACGCAGGCTGGAGGGCCACGGAAGAGAAGGAAATCTCCAGATCTGCTCTTTATCGAGTCTCTTATCATTCTGGCAACTGCCAGTCTTTATTTTTTTAAACATTAAACAGGCAGGGCCAGCCAGTGGAGGTTAAGGTAACTAGATACCACATGGCTAACTACATAGTCCAAGTCCCCAGCTTGAAAAACATGCGCAAAATCTCCAGAGGAGAATGGAGGAGAAGGGATTGGGGCATGGCACCCTGGGGTGCTTTCTCACTTTCTCTCTGTGTCTCTCTCCTTCTCTGGCACACTTACCTTAGAACAAATTTAAGACAACAAAACATTAAACATGTTAACCGCATTCATTTTCTTTATAGGAGATAATGCCCCATTAGGAGAAAAAAAAAAAAAAAAACTTATTTGCTTCCAAAGAAAATAAGATGCTTAGTTTTGCCCCGATTTTTTTTTTGTTCTCCTAGTTCCCATGGACAGAAAATTCAATGATCACTGCCTTTTGTTACCAGCTAGCTGGCTTTTGGTTCTGAAAATGTGAATCATAACTAGAAGAGGCTACTTGGCACACCAGTCTATGGTGAGTTCTTTTTTTAAAAAATTATTTATTTATTTTTTGTGATTTTTTTTTTCAAACCATAGTCAGCCATGTGGGAAACCAACGCCTTAACCACTGCTCCATCTGCTGGCCCTGTGTTGAGTTCTTTAGCACCATTGGCCACTAAAATGCTCCTAGTAGTATTTTCTTGTAATTTTTCTGTTGTCTTGTTTGCAGAAGCTGCAGTCTATTTAATTGCCTCTACCAGACTACACGGCATAATTCATTTCAGGAGACTTTCCTTTCAATAGTTTTCATTTTGACCTTTCTTATTTCTATTAGTTATGTTCAAAAGTACACAAAAACATAACTTGCTGCTGATTCCCAGCAGCCAAAAAAGTCTTAGAGGTGTCACCATCGCATACATATTTATACATATATATGCATTCATGCAGATAATAGCTGGTATATCAGTGTTCTTAGTGCTAAAGAGAAACAGAAAGCTCTTCTATATAGATACAGCCCATTCTTCTATATAATTCATACTCCCTAAAGCATGTGGACCAAAATCTAACTTTTGGTCCTCCAATATTCTCTAGTACTTATGTAATTCAAGGGCTAGAGTTACAAATTTTAGATTGCTTCTCACTCATTTATTCAACAATATTTATATAATGCCTATCATGTAAAAGACTATCAAAGTGAGGGTTAGCGCTTATGATAACTACAAAAGTAATTTGTGTTCTGGTAAGAACTGACACTGTAATTTTTTTAAACTGTGTCTCACATAGATGACCACAAATCAGATACAAAAGGACTTCAAAAAGTGTGTGGAAAAATGCAATGGAAATGTGAGTTTTTTTGATGCAAAAAAAATTTTTAATATATGCATAGCGTTTTTGTAATACACATTTTTTTTTAAACTTTGTGAAGACTGCCCATATATCTTAGAGTAAAACTATATGGAAAAATGATTGGTTGGCTTATTATAGTGTGCGCTCTACATATGTAGTGTCTTCACACAAAGTTCATGGAAACTGCATATTGTGAAAACATTGTGCAAAATAATTGTAGCACATCAATGAAATTCATACTTCCATTCAGTGTTTTATACTCCCATTTTTAAAAAAAGAAAAATGTTTTATAGCAACAAATATAGAAGGAGAATCTCATGAAAAATGATAATAAATTTTAGAAATCCTTAGTAACAAACTAGCTACCATTCCTAGAATAATCAGGAGCCAACATATGATAGATATCAGACCCCAAATGTAAAATACTAGAGTATTGTTTAGTATGAATAAAAAGATGTGAGATTAAGGACAATGGGATAATGAAATCATGTTAAAATGTCAAGGCAGGTTTGGAAGGAAGTTTAAATTATCAGCCAATAGGAAGATAATTAAAAGACAAAGAGCAGGGGCCAGCAGGTGGCGTAGTTGTTAAGGTGTTGTACTCTCACATGGCTGAACACAGTTTGAGTTCCAGACCTGTTGGCTTGCTTGCTCTCTCTCTCTCTCTCATCTCTCTCTCTCTCCTTCTCTCTCTCGTCAAATTAAAGAAAAATAATGATAATAAAAAATAAATTAAATAATTCTTAAAAAAAAAATAAGGCAGAGAGAAATTCTGTGAGAAGGTTTTCTCTGAACAAGCTGAGCTGAGTCCCTATCACCTGCCCCTTGCCCAATGGAAAGGACTGCTGTCATTTCTGTCCTGGGGATTTCAGCAAGACCTCTCACAGACACGTGTCTCCTGAATTTGGACGACCTGGTCAGCTAGAACCAATCTCACCCAAAAAATAAATAAATAAATAAATAACCATTAAGATGAGGACAATATACAAGAAATCCTAGACATCATTAAACAGCCAAATATCCATATAATTGATATTTCAGGAGGTGAAGAGACAGATAAAAGCATAGAAAATTTCTTTCATTATATATTAGTTTAAATGTTCCAAATTTAGGGAAGCACATAGACATCCAAATCCAGGAAATATAAAGAACACCAAATATTAGTAGATTTACCATAAGGATATCCTCTCCATGTATCATAGACAAATCAGTAAAAATCAAAGGCAAAGACAATATTCTAAAAATGGCAAGAGAGTAATGTCAAGTTACTTAACAAAGCTGACCCTATTAGACTAACATTAGACCTTTCAACTGAAACAATGTAGGCAAGGGAAGCATGGGAAGACATATTTAAGACGCTGAAAGAAAAGCAATTTTAGCTAAGAGTGCTAGACCTGCAAGATTATCCTTCAAATGAGGAGAAATAAAATAATTCCCATTTAAAAATTGAAAGAATTCACCAAAACTAGACTAGCTATTCAGAAAATATTTAAAAGAATGCTACACTGGGAAACCTAAAGGGGAAAAAAATAAAAGTAAGAGAACATAGAAGAATTAGAAGGGAACAGCAGATGGCGTAATGACTACGTCGCTAGATTCGACCGAGTCCCAGACCTGGTGGCTTAAACTCACAGTGGGCTCGTGCGTGTATGTATGTGTATGTGTGTGTGTGTGTGTGTGTGCCCAAGATCCTGAGATGAGAGTGGAGGAGAAGGGATTGTGGCATGGCCATCCCCCTAGGGGGGTGATTTCTCACTTTCTGTCTCTCTGTCCCTCTCTGTCTTTCTGGCGAGTGCATGCACCCTATAGCAAAAACTTCTCCAAAAAAAAAAAAAAGAATTAGAAAAAAAAGTAACAAAATGACAGTGATAAGTCCATGCATATTGGTAATAACATTAAATATTAATAGTTTAAATTCCCCAATTAAGACCCAGGTTGGCTCAATGCTTTAAAAAAAAGCAGAAACTCTCTAGATGTTGCTTACAAGAAACGTACCTCATTGACAAAGACAAACATAGACTGGAAGTAAAGGGTTGGAAAAAGTCATTTCATGTAAACAGAAATTTTTAAAAGGCTAGTGTCATGATACTGATATCAGACAAAATAGACCTTAAGATAGAAGTGGTAAAAATAGATAAATAAGGACACTATGTAGTTCTAAAAGGATTAATTCACCAAGAAGATATAAAAATTATAAATATTTATGCACCCAACTCTGGGTACCCAAATATGTAAAAGAAAGACTGGCAGATCTAAAGGGAGATACAGAAGTGCAACAGAAAAATTGTTGGTGATTTTAACACTCCGCCAGCACCACTGGACAGGTGATCTAGACAAAAAAAAAATGAAGAGATTACAGTATCTAAATGATACTATAAATTAAATGGACTTGAAAGACATCTATAGAACTTTCCACCTGATAACCACAAAATCCACATTTTTCTCGCCCCACATGAAACATTTTTAAAGATTGACCAGGCAAGAGAGCTCAGAACAAGCCTCTGCAAATTTAAAAGTTTAGAAACAATTCCAGCATCTTCTCTGACTGCAAAGTGGAATTAAACTCGAAATCAACCACCATAAGAGTCCTCGAAGCTACACAAAAACATTGGAATTAAACAACCTACTCCTGAACAACTTTAAAACTACTGAAAAAATTAAGACAGAAGTCAAAAGATTCATTGAAACTAATGATAATAAATGAGCTACTTTGGGACAGAGTGAAAGCAGTCCTAAGAGGGAAGTTCTAGTCACTAGTGCTCACTAGGGGAAAAAAAAAAAAATAGAAAGGTGGCATGACCAGGTAGGCTTTATCCCAGGGCTGGAAGAATGGCTCAACATATGTAAAACAATAAATGTAAGGCGTCACATTAAGAGAAGGAAAGATAAAAACCATATGATCATATCAATAGCTGCAGAAAAAGACTTGATAAAATACAGAATCCCTGGGGCCAGCAAGTGGCATACTGGTTGGGATGCTGGACTCCCATGTGGTTGATCATGGTTCAAGTCCCGGACCCAGCAGTTCAAGTCCTGGACCCAGTAACTTGAAACTCACACCAGACATGTGTGCATGGTCCAAAATACTGAGAGTATGAAGGAAAAGGGATTGCAACGTGACCATCCCCCGTGTGGGGTGATTTCTCACTTGTCTCTCTCTCTCTGGTGAGCACACACACCCTATAGCAAAAAAATCTCTCAAAAAAAATCCCTTCATGAGCAAGACTTTCAGCAAAATAGGTGTAGAAGGGACAGTTCACAACACAATAACAGTCATATACGACAGACCCAAAGCAAATCCACTGCCGGGAAAAATCTGTAAACTTATCCACTAAAAACTGAAACAAGATCAAGCCGCCTGTTTTCTCCACTCCTCCTTTCAGCATAGTGCTGGAAGTACTAGCCAATACAATCAGACAAGAGAGCAAATTAAAAGGCATGCATAAGAAATTAACTGTCCCTATTTGCAGATGATATGATTATACACAAAGAAAAAACAAAGGAGTCCACCAAATAAACTCCTAGAAGTGATAAACAAATTCAGTAAAGTAGCAGGATATAAAATATAAAATCAGTATATATACTGATTTTTATATATATACATATGTATGTGTATAAATCAATAATGTTTTTACACACCAACAATGAACAGACTGAGACTGAATTGAACAAAGCAATCCCATTTACAATAGCCACAAAACAAATGAGATACCTAGGGATAAACCTAACAAAACAGGTAAAGATCTCTACAAGGAAAACTATGGAAAGCTGAAAAAATAAATTAAGCATGATATAAAAAATGGAAAAGTATTCCTTACTCTTGGATGAGAAGAATCAATATAATCAAAATGTCAATTCTACCCAAATTAATTTACATTTTAATGTGATTCCAATTAAATGACAAGTGATATTTTTCACAGAAAGAGAATATATATATATATATATATATATAATGTGTCTAGAATCATAAAAGAACCCTTAGTGTCAAGGCAATACTGTGCAAAAGAATAAAGTAGGAGGCATCTCATTACCTTACTTCAAAATATATTACAAAGGAGTGATAATTAAAACAACATAGTACCGGCAGAAAAATAGACACAAGACCAATGGAACAGAAGAGAGAATCCAGAAAACGTACCCTAAATCATACAGTCAATTATACCCTTTGACAAAGGATACAAGAAAATGTGGTGGAGAAAAGAAAATCTTTTCAACAAATAATCCTGGAAGAACTGGACATTCACTTGCAGAAAAATAAAACTGGACCCCTATCTCACACCACTAACAATTAGAATCAACTCAAAAATAGGGGACAGTATGTGATATGGTGGTTAAGGGCACTGGACTCCCACAGGCCAACCACGATTCAAGGTCCAGACTTGGCTGCTTGCCTTCTCACTTTACCTCTTTCTTTCTCATTCTGTCCCTCTCTGGTCAAATTTTTAAAATAATAATTAAATAAGTAAATAAAGTTAAATAAAATAATTCTTTTTTAAAAAATCAACTCAAAAATAGATCAAAGACTTAAATGTAAAGTCTTCTAAATATTTGACAATGATATTGTAGTAGGCAAAACCCTTAAAGCATAGGCAATAATCTCAAAATATACAAGTGGGATTACATCAAGCTAAAAATCTTCTATATAGCAAAGGAAACATAAATTAGAGTGAAGAAACAACATTCAGAATGAGAAAATATATTTACAAATTGTGCCTCAGACAATGGATTGATAACCAGAATATATAGAGTACTCAAGTAGTTCATCCATATAAAAGTAAATAATCTAATTTTAAAATGAGCAAGTAGGGACCAGCAGTTAGTGTAATGGCTAAATCGCTGGACTCCCATGTTGTCAACCGGGG